AGATAATCCAGGAGAGTGGCAGTTAGCAGTTTTTGACTGGGCCAAGGCTTACCGTCAATTGCCAGTACATCATAGCCAACGAAAATACCTCATCATTAAAGACTTTGAAGGGAAGTTGTGGGTAGATTTAGCGGTTGGCTTTGGAGGAGTTGCAAGCTGTGGAGTCTTTGGGGCCCCAGCGGAAACCTGGAAACGGATTATGATCAGCAAACTTGGATTCCCAGTCATCTTTCGATGGGTAGATGACAACCTCATCCTAAAGAGACCGAACATGAAGACTTCACTGGGAGACATCACTGACCTGAGCAATTCCATGGGAGTAAGAACCAATCCGAAAAAGAACTACGAGTTTGCTGACGAACAAAAGTTCTTAGGCTTTATCTGGAATGGAAAGCAACACACGGTTAGACTCCCGAAAGAGAAATTGGATGAAAGGCTACGACAAATTAAAGAATTTTTGACGAAGGATGCGAAATGGAGTTACTCACAAGTCGAGACATTCGTGGGAAGGCTATGTCACACGGTTCACATCGTGCCACACATGGCCGCTTACCTCAATTCATTATACCGGTGGAAAAAGTCCTGGAGAAACATCCAGGCCAAGCGCGAGACTCCAGAGGATGTGGTAAACAATCTGAATGAGTGGGAGGCGTGCTTGGAGAACTTCGAAGCCTGCCGAATAGTCCCTAACCCGATACCCAAAGAGGTGGGTTGGGTGGGAGACGCTGCTTCTTCATTTGGGTAAGTGAAAGAACTCGCATAATAAAGACCTTACCGAGATAGAGTGAACCTTTGTTCTTTGACCTGACAAACTGGGTGCATACAGGATTGGCGTCTTGGTTGGTGATTTTTGGGCATGCTTCAAGTTCAAAACGGATTGGGAGCTAGAAGGGAGGAAAGAGAAAAAGCGACGCATCGCTTGGGCCGAAACAGTGGCCATAAGACTCGGACTGCTAGTAGTGAACAAAGTGATGGACGTCAAAGGCAGGAGGCTATGGGTTCACACTGACAACACAACCACAGAACATGCAATCCGTAAGCGCAAATCTAAAGATCAGGATGTGAATGAGGAGTGGAAAAAGATACAGCGACTGCTTACGAACTTAGGCTGCAACATTAAGCAGAAACGTGTAACATCTAGAGATAATAAAGCCGATGACCTCTCAAGGGGGGTTTTAACGTCCGAATTGTTGTGGTTCAAGGAGGTCAAGATAGACGTTCCGGGAGACCTGACTCACTTGCTTTTCCAATTCACGCCGATTCAATTGCAACCATCATCATGACGAGAAAGAAACGATCGAATAAATTAGACACAGGAACCAAATCAGAGAAAGAAAACAAGATGGATGACTTCAAGAGACTTACCAGGCAATTCGGATCATTTAAGAAAGACGCGTTCGGAGTAGATAAATCAGATTCAGATGAAATTCAAAAACACTTCTTGCGAGGCGCCTGGATGGACGGCACGTTAAAACACTACAACTCTGGTGTGGTGAAATTGAGGAGGTACGCCGAGGTCAAGAACATCGAACGGTCACAGTTACTACTGATTTCTCCCGAAGTCCTGCTAGGTTTCGTAGTGTGGGGTTCTAAGAAAGAAGAAGAGTACGCTGGGGAGGACGAGTCAGTCAAGGCGTCGACTTTGAGATCCTACATAGCAGGCCTAAAGGCCTGGCACAAATTTCACCGCGAGACTTACCCTTCGGAGAAAGACGACTCAGTGGCATTATTGCTGAAAGCTTCGGAAACGGTGGAACACCGCTTAAGGGAGGAAGAGAAGCTACGCCCGCCAGTGCTAATATCAGACCTAGCTGTCTTACTAGAGCACATCAACCTTACCGATGAAAAAGACCTGGCTATTTTCGCGATCGCATTGGTGGCCTTTTGGGGCACAGCGAGGCTGGGTGAATTGGTGTCGGACGACGTGTCGAAGAGGATGCCACTTTGGGGAGATGTAGTTTGGGCGAATGACTACTCCTATGCAAAAATAAAGATCCATGGGGCGAAGACGGCGAGACCGGGTGAAATTCAAACGATTTATATCCACCGTCAGAAATCGAAACTTGACCCAGTAAGAGTACTGAAGCTTCTATACGAATTCCGCCCACGGAAACCGATCGATCCGGTTTTTGGATTTGCTAGTGAGAAAGACGGAAGGATGATAGTATATAAAAAGCAGTTCGTGATTAACAGACTGAGAGATTTCTGGAATATGTTTAGACCAGTGAAACATAAGTTACTTTACGGGCACTCCTTCAGAATAGGAGGTGCCTCCCTTCGTTGGAACTTGGGTGCGTCAAGGAACGAGATCAAGATAAATGGTCGTTGGGCTTCAGATGCGTACAGAATCTACTTGAGGAAATTTAGTGACAAGGAAATGAAAGAGACGGTGAATTGGCTAAAAGTCTTACGTTTAGATGATTGATGAAACTTGGTTAATTTCTCTAGTTGGAGGAAGGTTAGTGTCCAGCCTGTTGACTGGCTCTGTTAGGTAGTTACTAGGGATTGGGCGAAGCGAATTTTTGTAAAATTCCATTTTAGGGTATTTTCACGTATTTTCAATTCAGTACATATGGACAGCTAGCACCTTGATAACTTTGTCTGATGAGGAGCTAGGGCGACAGTTTAATTACAAGCGTCTTGGCGGGCACAGTCAATTATGAGCGTTAAATGAAGTGTGGTAAGGTGGTAATGACGCTATGGGAACAGCCAGACGAGAGAGGAGCATGGCAAGGCTTGTGAGGCCTGATTCAACACAACCATTGTCTAGCGTGATGGTTTCCGGGAGTCCTAAAAGCTCGTACATTTGAACGATCTCGTTTGGCCAGAAGCGAGTCGTCAAGTAACACACGCCAGGAGCCCAATCGGCTACATTGATCCGCGGATGGCCGTCATACGTTATTCTGCGTTGCAAGGCGGCCCGTTCTTGCTGGTATGAAGCCCACACGTAGACAGCCGCAGAGGTCAGGATCGTATTGACGCCAGCAGAGTTGGCCACGTAGTCCGCATGAAATAGGCCCTTTCGGGCGAGTCGTTGGAAGGGCCTTGATCAAGCAGGATCATATGATATCAGCGGGGGATTCTAACAAGATAATCTTAAAGCAAAGTCACTTACATGTGTGATTGGCAAAACCTATTTAATTTGGATGTAAGAAATCACTTCATTTCCGGATGTGGATGAGGTTGATACGGAGATACTCACGTTAGAACAGTGGAGGTGAGGACAGCGAGATCCGAGAAATTTGAAAGACCGAAAGGAGTCAAAAGTCCGTTGAATGACCCCCAGTCTCGGTCAAGCCTCTGGTAAAGGGACATGTCAGTGACACCTGCCCATCAGGAGCTCGGAGGGCTTCGGTTGGCTTCGTTAGGATCTCCTAGTAGTCTAGATCCGCTAAGCCGTGGATTGGATTTTCGGCTAACACAAATTTTACAGAAGTTTACATCGCCCAATCCCTACTGTGTTTCTTTGTCGTTCAGGTTTGGAAGAAGTAAGTGTTCTAGGGTTTGTTGGAAGAAGATTGACAAACTCTAACTTAGATTTGAATTACAAACGAGATTGAATCTGGAAAGTTTTGTGTGGCGGCTAAGCGAGAGATCTATACAGTCTATAGAAGTAGATGTAACTATTATGGTACACAAATATCGTTCTGGCAATTTCCAGAAGGTTTTTTCCAGAACTCCAGAACCCTTCGGGAAGCGTTCTGGCGTTCTGGAAAAAACACAAATACACACATAAACTTTCTGCTGCAGCCGTTCATTCCCCACATGCATCACCTAACAAACATGGATCAAGTGATCAGCAACGACTACCTCAAGCCAACCCAAGAAGATCAAGTTATCACGCCGTTCACTTTACAAATTCACCCATCTGCGCTTCAGGCCTTTTAATCGACCTTCAATTTGAACTTCAGATCACCAAACTTCTATACGGAACCCATTCCAGGTATCAAGAAATTTTTATTGGCTTGAGATGGGTCATTCACCGTGAATCAATTAATACTCAGAGGCAAAGCTTTCACTGCAATCCAATCGATACATAGAGGCCGTTTTATTCTTATGATTTTCATCCACTTTCTCCCGGTTTTCAAGCACAAAAATCGATCGATACAGGTATCATCATATTGAGATTCTTTCTTAAGTCTCAATTTGTACTCTTTGTACTTGTTAGTTAGAAAGCTATATAGAAGGAAACTAGAAAGAAAACACAAAAGCTTGAAAACTAGTGAAACAGCGACACTAAGATGAAAGATAAAATGATTATTGTTCCCAAGCCCATTTCAAACACTTTGAGTCGCAATAGATTGAGTGAAAAAAGCATCTTGCCGCGTAGTATCTTGCCCGGATTCATGAACATCAGTCGTTTGTGCGATGGGTTTGGTGCAAAGAGGCCTTAAATGTCCTGTCGATTGAAACAGGCGTTCAGAGTTCTTCAATCGCTTTGAACTTTCAACTCGGCAGGCCAATCTTCCCCATCTGCCTTTGAGAAAGTATGTAATATTATACATACATGAATCTTTCAAGTTGAGGTTGGGTTTTTTTGAGCCATAATCGAGAAGTGAGAATGGAAGTGCTGAGATGGGAGAGGGATGAGATTTGGTGTCCTAGGGGATGAGGGGAGTGCCAGCGGAGTAGGTGGTGGTTTGGTTCTGGTGTAGTCGGGCTTCTGGAATTCTGGAGTGTGGGGCATTCAAAGTTGCAGAACACCAGAACGCCAGAACACACCAAACAAAAAAACTTCTGGCGTTCTGGAAAAAGCGTTCTGGAAATTTCCAGAACAATATTTGTGTACCACATATGTTGAGAGGAGAGAGGATGACTCTTCCGAGAAACTATGGTAGGACAAGCTTGGGAATTGATTTAAGATGGTAAAATAAAATCTACATAAGAGTTTCTTAAAAGTATAACTCAAAGTCCTCCCCCACAAACTACCCTTGCTCTCATGGATAAGAGTATGGAATCCCTCTGTGACGTTCGAGTCTGAACTGGAACTTGAGAAACTTATGATATAAAATGCACCGAATATGTTGATATTTCCAAGTAAAAATAAATAACCTATTTACATTTTTTTATTGAGTACTTATAAGTTTCACTGCTACTGTACTGATCTAAGATTTGAAAAGGAACATTTCCAAAGAAAAGTGAAGAATTATTGAAAAGAACAAAACAAAGCCAGCACGGGAAACGATCGTAAAACTGGATCTTTGTACATAGATTGACTTAGGAGTAACTATACACTTTCTGTCAGACGAATTACCGACACCACAAAGGCCGACCGATGACAAGGACTCAAAAATGTCACTGGTGGCAACTATCTGAACCTCAAAAGTCTCAACCGATGCTATACCACCTTCTTGAATTTGAGGAAAATTGGGTTTTGATTTTTCTTCACAAAAACTTTGGAACGCCTCGGGCTCGAACGATTTCTGGGATTCGAGAGATGAAGTGGTTGAAAGTAAGGAGGGTGAAGCAGGTGCCGGGTTGGATTGGATGTTTTCCAAGCAGAGTATTGGAGTGGTCGCGGTTGATGAAAATAAAGTATCTTGTTCCGCGAGAATTTCTTTCTGTTCATCGAGAAATGAGCCAGCCAGAAGCTCAGGTGTTTCTACACAAGTCTTATCCGAGGACAGGCTGGACAGGCGAAGGTGAGAAGAAGATGACAAGGAAGAGCCAGATAAGGTTCTATTGTGTTCGGTGGTGGTATCCTCGGAAATTTCATTCGACATATCAATACACTCCTCATCCTTCATGATTTCGTCTAGTTTTGTCTTCCAACAGAATGATTTTGAAGATTTCGTTGTGCTCTTGAACAGGGGAAGACTTGAAGGAGTGCATCTTCTATAGTAAGCTGAATTCAATTGTGCAAAATCAAGGTCTATAGTTGATAGTTTAACTCGTTCTTCACGAGATATCTTTGATTGTTCTAGGTGGGTGGCTTCTAGGAAAGCCAGCAAAGGAGTCGAGTGAACGGGTGACAATGACTCTAGTTTATCTGGAGTTTCTGGGGAAGCTTCTACGAGAGTGGTGCTGGACGTATTGAAATCCAAGATGGAAACATTCGAAGGCATATTGAAGAGGTCTTCTTCGTGTTCATCGACAAGTGAGACAGGAGCGAGTTCTCCAGATGATGCTGACAAGTCGCTGGTTGCGAGTTGAGGGATGCTGCATACTGGAAGTTCAGTGCTCTGCGGGACGATGGAAGAAGAGGTCTGAAGACGTATCGAAAAATGCAAGTTAGTTTATGTCTAACCATCAAAGGATTACTTGTAGAAGAAAAGGTAACATACCTCAACAAGCAAGTCTTTCGACAGATTCCCAAGCGTTTCAGGATTCTTCCCACCGGTTTCTTCAACTAATGGACGTCGAATACCAAATGCAAAGGGAATGTTGTGAGGCTGACCACGCAAAGGTCTCACATCATATTTGCTTACGCAAACATACGAGGTCTGAAAAGAGCCGACAAATCACAAGTTAGAAAATTGAGAGTGAGGCATTGTTTTCTTAAGAAGAATGAAAGAGCAAACCTTGACGACCGCGGTTGATTTCATCTTCATGAATTTATTGTGGGGAGCACCCTCTATTTTGCAAGTCTGTAGAAAGATAATCAATCAATCAGTGTTCTGAGTTTGGGAGCATGCTAGAGTGTGTCTTTGCTTACCTGCTCAGGTCTTGCTTCAGTGCGGTTCTTACCACTTCGAATACCTTGCCATACATCAACACCAAACATCACGGGCGAGTTCAGACCAGAAAACAATCTTGACATCTTGAATAACTATGTGGGATTGGGACTCGGGTCAGAGACGACTGAAGATGGATGACAAAGGTTTTGTAGTGTACGATCGGTATCGAAGGGAAAGCAAAAGCGAGAAAAGGGCTAGAGTGAGGTTTAAAGGCAAAACTTTGAGTGGTTTGCGAGTGGAGTTATTTGAGAATTGGGCAAGCTGCTGGTTTGTTGTGTCAAAGTTGTAGGAAGTCAAAAAGAATTTTGATGTTCGATTGCGGATTCGAGAAAATGGCCTCTACTTATCAGATTCCCTCAAAGTACGGATAACAGACACGGACGTTCTAAGAATCCACTTTGAACTTCGAAACGACCTGGATATCCGTCTGCACTAACTTGCGATCAGACAGGTTATTACAGTTTGCTAAAGAATCTTGCGTTCAGAGGCACAATTTCGGGCGTGAATGTTCTCTGATTCCACAGCCGTTCATGAGATGACTGCCAAGGCAATCTGTCATGGTTCGAGTCACCCGCATTCTTGGATGCTAGCGGCCTCCAGTGATATTCCAGGCTCAGACTGGCGTGAAAAGTACTTGGAGATGCATGTTCCACTTGCACGCGAAAAGGTCAACGTGATCTCGCTTGAACTCATCAGCTCTTGAAAAGATTGAATCCAGTTTTGAACGACATCCATCAATGACAAGTTGCGTTCGAACTTCTCGCTCAGTGGAGGGATTCATAGTGGAAAACCACCTTACTGTGGCCTGCTGTGCGCTCATAATAATCGAATCATTTACATTCGATCTTGCAACACTGACTTACCAAAAGCAATATCATCCAATAAGTCTCCTGAACCGTGTCCCAAGATGCGAATGCTCAGACCAGCACCCGACAAAAGAATGCCTTTATGCTTAAGCTCTTGGGGGGCCATACTTCGCATCCGCGCGCACAAGCTTTAAACAGGGTAAATAGTATCATCCTTGCCTTGCAAAGTGATCGGTGACTTTGTTGTACCAGCGGGGAAATTGTAACTCCTTCGAAGTTTATGGCTTCCCGCAAGCGCTTGCAAAGCTGCTTCAACTTGTAGCACAAAGATTGCACAGATCTCGAGGATAAAGACTCAATCAACAGAAATGGCTGCTAGAGAATATTCCTCATTCACACCATGATTTCTGGAAGTATGACAGATAAAAATGATGGGGCTCGCGTCATACATCAGCCCAAGCTCTTTTCCAGATCGGGAACAGTCATTGGGTATCGATTCTTGCTATGAACGGCTTGATAAGTTTGAAAATCAGTAGCTCGAATAGGGTTCGAACCATGGGCGGATTGCATACAAGCAAGTTAACACTGATAAAATGCTTATATCAAGAGCGTTACTATAACAAGAGGTATGTAGTGTATAACGTCACATCATTGTCAGTTGGTGCACTGGCTATTCGACTTCAACAACAATCCAGAACAGATCATCAACTCTTCATTTGAAAACATTCATAAACTAACCGCAAAACTCATTTCAAGATGTCAAAACCAATGTCAGATTCAGAAGTGATCTCAGAGATGAAGAAATTAGTAAGTGAAGGTTCACTGATTCAAGTAATTCATCATAATGCTTTGGATCTTGAGTTTTGAACATTTGTTTTTAGGTCGCATTCATTAAACAGGAAGCATTAGAAAAAGCAAGAGAGATCAAAGTTAAAGCAGATGAAGAATTTTCAATCGAAAAGGTTAACTTCGGTTCTGATGACTTCTAGCTTAGATTTATGTTGATATGGTATTCTGATCGATTTGGTATTACCTTTTTTTCTTTTTACAGGCTAAGATTGTTAGACTTGAGAGTGCAGGTATTGATACGACTTATGAAAAGAAGAGAAAACAAGTAGAAATTCAAAAACGAATGTAAGCTTCATCCCTTTCGATTGACCATGTAGATTCATAAAGTTAATAATAACATTTGGTATAATTCTTCTTTTGATAGTACACAATCTACTCAAACTAACAAAGCAAGACTTCAACAACTTCAAATTAGAGATGAACTTTTACAAAACGTATTCGAAGATGCTAAAAAAGGATTAAGTGATGTTACTAAAGATAGTAAAAAGTATAGTGAGATTTTAGAAAAATTGGTTTTACAAGTAAGTGAAATCTTTTGAATGATTCTTAGTATTAAATCCGATTGATTGAATTCTATGTCTTCTTTTTGATTGAATCCATTTCTTTTGTAGGCACTTTTTTCTTTAATGTCAAAAGAAATTACTGTTTCGATTAGATCTCAAGATAAACAATTAGCAGAAAAAGCCATTTCACAAGCTGTTAAGAGTTATAAATCGATTTCTGGTCAAAACTGTGTTCCAACCATCAAAGAAGATGTACCGAAAGATTCGTAAGTCATCCTATCCTTTGTCCTTTGAAATCTTTCCCTCAAAAAGTAATCATTCTGTTCTGTTATCTTGATCATAGACGAGGTGGTGTAATAGTTTGGGGTTATAACAATCGAATCAAAGTTGATAATACTCTAGACGAACGCTTAAGATTATTAGAAGAAAAGGTTCATCTCGTTATAACCTATCTTGGTTTTATTTTTCAGATACTGATGCATTGAAACCTTGGTATTTCTTGATAGATGTTACCTGAGATCCGTATCACACTTTATGGTAAGAATCCCAACCGAAAGCATGAAACTTGAGAAGAACTTGGAATATTTATCTCATCATATACATATGCAAGATCATCAGGGTAACTGAGAAGGTGGAGGTCAAGGGATAGAATGGACTCGTAAAAAGAGTTCAAGTTTTCAGTTACGACTTTGAATTTATCACATCTCAATCCTTGATTTGAATCGTAGCATAATGATCTTCTTTTTTGCTTTTGTCTTGCTCTGGTTGAAATTTTTCAATTTTCTAATTTCATTTTCAACCTCATCAAATCCTTTTTTCTCATAGAAGGACGTAGCTTTTTCTGTCCTTTTCTTTTCTATCCTTCAATTGTAAATTGTAAAAATCAGTACTTCTTGACTGAAATAATTTCAATCAAACAAGTACAACCTTTTTTTGACTGTAAATTGCGTTTTAATCACTTGTTTGCAATTGAGAGAGTTCTTGTTACCATTCACACTAAAGCAACAACTTGTGTGCCCAAGTTATAAATGCAAAGGTTGAGGGAGTCAAATGCACTGGCTTCTCAAAGTTAGTCATTACAGAGTTACGGATGGTACTCGCGCCAATGCTCTGGTAGACCTTAGCCCATAGGCTAGTCCAGCCTGACTAATGGCCTGCCACTTGGACAGATCAAAGAGCAAAACGGTCTAAAACATGGAGGTATATTCACTATGAGAAATTCAAGACGTATTGAGTGTAAAATTGGATCATTTTGCTATTCTAGATTGATAAGTCATTTTTCATTGGACAGATCCCTTCCATCAGTGATCATATTGGCGTCAGACAACAAAAAACATAACCTTGAAGCATTTGAGAAAAAAAGGAAGCAGAAGAAGAGAAGACATAAACAATATATGTATGGAAAACCAACGAGATTGAAACAAATAAGGATTGGATACAAAGTCATATGTATATGTCTTCTAAACCCCTGACCAGCTTAGATGAGAGTTAAGACTAGAAAGATAATTCAAAAATGACTTGTAAATTGATGAGGATATTTTTTTGGGGGTGGGTGGGTTTAAAAGACCTCTGATTGTTCAAAGAAAAAACAAAAAACAACAGAAGAGTTAGTAATGAAATCTTGATGAATGGAAATGAATTGAATCTTACTTTTCTTCTCGTCGACTGAGATGCCTCCAGGTCCCATGTTGACCAACAGAAGCAAACCTCCAACAATTGACAAAGTTTGGAAAAAGTCATATCTATGGGAAAGGGATGATCAGCAAGAGACACAGATCGATACGATTCACATGAAGGGCTCACTTGAGGAAATCACGGTGAGGATGAGCTGAGTGAACAGACCACCAATTGTTGATCAAGATGTTGAAAATCGAGAGAACCATGACCAAGAAGAGAGCAGACCACTTGGCTTTGAAACCAATGGCGACCATAGTACAAGCCACTAAGCCTACCAAAGAGACCAGAGCTCTCATGATAGTAAACTCTCCAGAGACAACAAAGCCCAAGAAGAGGAAGACGAGTAAGATCCGACCAGCAAGTTGAAGATAAGTACGACGATCAGTTTCGGAACCGATTGAGTTGGGTAAACCGGCGAAAAGAGCATTAGCCTTTGGATTGTTTCTTTTCGAGAGTGAGTCGGAGAGAACCATGAGAAGACCACCGATGACGGATAAGTTACGAAGGAAGAAGTTGAGATCAAAGATCAATCCATAACCTAAACCTTGAGCAACGACAACGACTAAGAGACCCGAAACAGAGCTGGTGGGGTATTTTTTGGCAATGATTAATGATGAACAGATGATCATGACCTGATGAAGGTGAATACAAGTTTCAGTCATGTGAATCAATTCAATGATAAAAATATATTCAACATCTAACGTACGATAACATTGGCGAGCAGAAATGAATGGCTGAGACCCTTTGGAAAGTGGCGATATTTCTGTAATCAAAACCAAGACCGAAATCATGAGCTAATTAAATTTGAATGCAAGAGAATCAAGAGAAGAGCTACACACCTGTAAATAGTATAATTGATCTGACCATTGTGTGCCAATCCTCAAAGCATCCTCATAAAAAGTGACGACGATCAAGAATCTACCAAGACCAGGTAAATAAGGTTTGATAGGGTGAGAGTAAATCTCAATGAAATCTTCCATAGTCGAAGACCAACGTTGAATCTTTGATAGAAAAGAATCAGACGATTCATTTGAAGACATGTTAGATTGACCAGGCAAGTTGATAAGGGGATGATTATAGTTTGGATTTGAGGGTGGTGCTTGATAAGATGGACTAGCGGTACGAGCTACTGGAGGGTAAGGTGCCGATGGGTAAGGTACTGAGTTGGATGATGGAGGCGTAGGTGAATTCGCATTCGATGGTTGACGACGCATAGTACTCTGAGCTGAGTTATAAGGTGAAGCTGGAGTGACGTTGATCTGTGGATGAGACATGACGATGGATAACTTGAGATCGAAAGGAAGCGAAGAAGGAAGTTAAAGAATTAGATTATTTAGAATATATTTGATTAGATAGGATTGAACTCACTTTCTTGATATGAACAAAGACTGATGAACTTGGTACACAGTCACACTGGCCTTGTTGGTGGTGGTGGTCTTTGTTGAAAGTGGTAGCAATTGGTTGGTGTTCTAACTTCAAATTCTAGGCTGAGTTGTGATGGTCGTACAGGAAAAATATCAAGCAACGTGTCAGTTTTAATTCCAAGTTTTATCAAATATATGGACAATACACTTAAAACAAAACTCAACCTCAATCCCCAATTAATCAAGTTTAAAGCTTGAATTTAGTCATTTATACTGTCAAAAATCAAATCCGCGATTCATCATTTCAAATCCTGATGCAAAATACCCAAGCTTAAAGTCGTTTCAAATCAACAAATTCGCACGTCTGAAGGCGAAGCGTTCGCAGCCTCGCTCACTGCGACCGGCTCGACAGCTTCTCCTTCAGCATGCGTCTGCATGCGTTGAGTTGACTTAAGTTCAGTTCCCTGAGAGACACTGTTCAATCTTTCAAACTCTCAACCCAGGTGTGTAAATATGAAGGTCCGACCGAGATCAGAGCTTCCACAGTCCACAGTCACTCCTTGAAAGAATACTAAATTCACATTTACTAATTTGGCAAAGAAAATACGACATATGTATCCTTTGTACATAGCTGCTGGAGTTTCATCGCGAATCTTAGATAGAAACTTGGTTATATACACCTGGTACATACACCAGGGGGTAAACCTCCTCCGCCTCGGGTGGTTCTGGAAATCTGTCCAGGAATTTTGAGGACCCAGGCAAACCCGGCCAAAGCCCATTGACCTGGGAGGTATGAATTTTTGAAAGGATATTTTTTGGCATAGGGGTCTGACAGGTATGAATTCAATTCTCTCAAAGAAAGGGTGGTTGTCTGAGTGTATGTGAAATTTGACCTAGATGTCAGGAGTGTATGAATGTTGTTGGATTTTGTTTAGAGAATGTTCCTCCTGAACTTGTGTGATGAGTTGAAGTTGAATCTTCTGTGTTGATTGCGCAGCACAGATCATCTATAAGTAAATGCATCAAGTAACCATGATTTCTGACAGCAAATTATCTGCTCAAAAGCCTGATTTGCACATAGTATGGCCTAAAGCGAAGTGAAGTTCTTTTTGCTCAAAACACCCAAAACATTGGCTCAAACATGAAGGTGTGGGAGGTATGAGAGCCAAACTATAGTTGACTACACTTGGATTTTTTTGCAAAATTTGGTCTTTTTCCGGCATGAAAAGGGTAAAAATTAGTGATTTAGATAACCCACTTGCCTTGGGCTTTGCTGGGGTCCCAAATTTTGTTGCAAGAACCAAGACAAAGTGGTCCCAGTCAAGAAATTGAGGATAACCGTAAGACAATCAGTCACTTTCACCAGTTTTTGTTGGTTCAAAAAGACCAAAAATTGTAATCAAAGATGCCATGAAGGTTGGTCAAGATCAGATGATACAACACCTTGAGCCAAGTGCAAGCATCTGGCTGTGATGTGATGTGTGACCTTGTCAGTCCTTGGCTGAGCTGTCAATTGATGGGTGCAGTCACCATGTCAATATCCTTGTAGCATGTTGATGTGCACACACAGAGAGTTTTGAAACAAATCTGAAAGTCTTTTGGTCAGATTTAGACTGAGATTGTTGTTGAGCACCCTTTGTAAATGGGAATTTATTTATAGGATTTTTGTCTTGAGCTGGGGTCAACTGACTGTCAATGTTGCAGTTGATAAGGGGAAGAAGTGCCTATTGGGGCACCTCTTTGATGGGTCTATACTGTGTCTAAAGAAAGACCTGCATGTGTGCACGTTGACGTGCTACAAGGATATTTACATGGTGAGTACACTTCATAATCCAGCTTGCTTTTTGATGACTGGTATCTGATGGGAGCATTTTTTTGGTCCCCCCTGAACAGGTTTCTGTGTCTCTAACAGTATTGCTCCCAGGTTTGGAATGCTCAACTTAACCTGTGGTGTACATAGCTCCAGGGGTCTCAATCTGACCATTCACGGTCAATGTGGCACCCAGTCAGACATGAAGCTCTGCCAAAGTCAGTTGTGCAACATGCCAATAGTCTATGTTTACAATACTGGTGAAGTCAACATGTGGAAAAAGTTAAAGGCAAAGAATAACAATAACAAAAAAAAGAAAGCAAGGAAAGACTCAAAAAATGTATGCTGAGCAAAAAAGTGATACTCAAGAGAAAGCAGGACATCATCAAAAGATTAGAACCAGAACAGGAGAGAATGTGAAAAGATATTTCCGCAAGCATCATTTCTTGTCAATTCACGCAATGGAAAAAAGTAGATAAACTGATCTAACCCAAGTTGTCAGGATTCCATACAAACCAGTATCCTTTTATGATGGCAGACATGTCTGGGATATGTGCGCCAGTCAAGTCTTTACAGGAGGTCACGGTGGGTTATCTTTGCAGGGCTGTCACATAGCTTGGGTTAAGTGGCCTCATCATATGTTTGAGCAAGCAAATTGATTGGGTTGATCAGTCATTACTGTGTCCAAGAGGAGGTCATATTGAATGGCTTTTTGTGAATGGCTTGAAATACAGAGATGCCTTGAAATGAAAAGGAACATTAACTTGGTTTTCAAGCTTGATCATGTGATAGCAATATGAAAATGATTTTTAATACTTCAAAGTTCAGGGAATATAACAGTCTGTAAGGAAAATCTTAAGAGGAAATATCAATTAAAAGACAATGTTGAAGGAAACATAGGACACGCGCTTGGGAATATGCAGGTCACAGTTTATCAGTGCTCCGAGTTATGATATGATTCATGCTTTAAAATATCAAGATATCATTATGTCATCAATGGGAATCTAGAATTATTTGACCAAGTGAAAGCCAAAGAACCCAAAAAGCCTACCAAATCATTCTACGCAAAATATATCTGTAACAAAAAGAGGCGATGAAGAAATCAAACAAAGAAAACCTATGAATGCGAAATGTGAAATATTATGATTTATGAATAGACTAATCAAGAAGCCTCTAGAGACTTAAAAAAATCAGCATCATAAAAATCATTTAAACATTGTAATCTTAAATCCACATCTTTCTCTAAAAGATCGCTGATGAGTGCGGCGCAATCCGGAGAAACAGAGGAAGGGATTCTCAGTTTTTGCTCCAAGACTTTGTCTTCTGAATTTGTTTGTTTGCCTAGTGGAAACAAAGATACGACACGAAGGAACTAAAGTCAATGTCTTTGAAAAGGGAAGAGCATTAGAAGAGATATGACTTACTTAGTCTAAAAGGCTTTGTTCCAGTGACCATCTCATATAAGACCACCCCCAATGACCACCAATCTACAGCATGGGTGTAATCGGATTTCTTGAGCATCTCCGGCGCTCTGCAATAGGGAGTGCCGCATTTACCAGAGGCTACTCCATGGGGAGCTCTTGTCGCAAGCCCGAAGTCAGTGAGTTGAATTTTTCCATCTTGAGTTAGGAGAATATTTGCCGTTTTCACATCACGGTGAATAATTTTATTTTCATGAAGATACTCAAGTGCTTCTGCCAAATCTAATATCCAGTATTTAATTTGTTTTTCGGGAATTTTGTTTCGATAAAGAAAGTGATCAAGATTGCCTCCATCAGCGTATTCAAGGATAATGTAAGAAGTTTGGAAAGTATGATGTTCACCAAGGAAGGGAGTGATAGCAGGATGATCCAGATCCTTTAGTATGTCGATTTCGCTCATGATCGCTTTAGTCCTTCTCCTACCGTTTCGATCGGAGCGTGAGATGACCTTTATGGCACATGGAGATTGACTAACTTTAGAAATAGCTTGAACAACCTTTCCAAACCCACCATAACCAAGTGTTCCCAAGATCTCGAATTCTTCTGTAATGTCTTTTTCACTTCCGGATGTGATCGCTTGGAAAATTGGAGAGATGGGTTCGGGAGTCACGCGGACACGATTAGGCAAAGATCTGAAGACGCGATTTTGGTTCATGGTTGGTTGTAATAAGAACGCGTATATGATATTGGTGGTAAGTCGCTGAAGAAGATCAAGATATGAATTAGAGGTGTGGTTCAGATGACTGAGGTATAAGACTGAGTAAGCGAATAAAGCCAGCCACTGGTTTTATATGCCATCGAAGCTGATGATGCTGATACTGATCCGGATCAGCATCAATTTCATAAAATCATAACAAGGGGAAGTGGCAAAGATCATAGGCTGAAGTACGCAAAAGCCTTGCCAATCATAGCAAGGCTTGTATTGTACTACAAAAATATTGAAAGGTATGATAGCTTTTGAAAGTGCATTGTCTTGAGATATTCAGATTTTGGAAATGTAGAGAAATTCGATATAGCTTCCTCACAGTAGCACCACTGGGTACAATAACTATATACGCGTGAAAGCTAAGAGGAACCAGGAGATTAATTATCCAAAAAAATCTCTCGTTTGTTGATCAAGTCTATTTTGTGAGGATCGGAAGATATCTCAATCATGGTCCACTTGTCCGTTTGTTGCTTATGAGAAACCCTCACAATGCACAAAATGAAAGCAAAACCCAGTAAAAACGTAAGCGTATCTTGGTGGGTATACACTTCTTATCATTTCAGATCAATACTCGTCAGACAGACGGGCTCGCCACCTCTTTGGCTCCACAAGTGGGGAGATCCAAATAGCCCATGATCTTCTGTTATTTGGATCACAACTTCACCTGAAGTGATTTGATTGCGTGCACAAACATGATAAGTTGACCTTTCTCCAGCCTACCGCGGAGATTTCTTGACGCAGCTCACTGAAAGTGCATACTGTAAAGAATCTTTCGAGCTGAACAGTATCAGCAAGATAAGTATGATGAGGTTACAGTTGACGTGTACAGGGATCAGGGCTAGTATATTTTTGGGAAAAGCGGGACGGCCCAGGTCGATTCTGCCGGCGTGCTGTTCGTTGTCGTTGCCTTTTGTGGAGGACTCATTGGCGTTGCCCACATGCTTTTCATCTAGAAAAATGAATAACCTGAAAGTCGAGCATATTTTGGCGGCATTCTTGAAATAGGTGTCATTGTCACCTGCCATTCAGAACACCCCTGGCGTTCTTTCTGATTTGTTCAACGCGGTGATATGCGGGTTTTGTCTCATGAAATCTTAGCTGTCTGATTGCTACAGGA